AATTTGCGGCACAGCAAAACTTCACCAGCTGCGAATTGTTCGCACATTGACCAAAACTCCGAAGAGTCCCAAAAAGCCAACTCTGACAACTGCGCCATGCTGCAGCATTAATCGCTGGGGTTGCCTCATCGGTGGCAACTTGTCGCTTGAGGTTTTGTGGTTTATTTTTTCAGCTTCCAGCTGAAGAGTACGCATATTTGATTTTATAACTTCGGACAACGACGCACATAAAAACGAGGTCATCAATGGGCGAACCCCCGGACCCAGGACAGCAGCCAAAGGATTCAATTTGATTGGATTGAAAGTCGGAAAAGTGTGCAGCAAGTGGCGTGGTATGATTTACCAGGCCAAGAAACACACCCCCCCGCCCCTTACCTGGCAGGATTGGGAATCACGTAATGGTTAAAACGAATGTTTTTTCCCTTCTCTCTCTCTCTCTCTCTCTCTCTCTCTGGTTTTTTTTTCGCCCATTGAGCTGCATTTTAAATGCCCATCGAATGCATAAAAATTCCAATGGCAATGCCCGTGGCTCGCCATCCGAATGAAATCGAAACTTATTAAATATTTAGTGATTCCTCCTGCCAGCCGAAAAAAAAAATGAGTTTACATTTGTTGTCTGACTTTATGATAATGTGCAGCACACCAAAAAAAAAAAAAATATAAAAAAAACCAAACTCACGCAAATCGGCAACTTTTACGCAACATTTGTTGCACAAGTTTTCAGTTCTTGTTGTAAGCGCCTGTTTGTCCAGTTTATAGAAAACACCTGTGCCATCAGGTGCTCCTCCTCTCGCATTTCCACTGTCCAAGCTGACCTTTTGTTTGGCATTGCGTCAGTTGCGGCGCCTCATCAATTTTGCATGCCTGGGGACAGTGTGCAGGCGGCGCGGAGCCCTGGCAACGGATACGTCTACGGATCTGGACATATACGAGTTGACTGAAACAATCAACACATTTAAACGATTTTGTTAATTTATTTAACGCATTGCGCGCACTTTTAAACGCTTTAATTGAAGCTTAATGATTTGTAAAATGCCTCCTGCAAAGGACTTTAAAATTTATCAAGCTTAAAATTAGTATGTGAGCACTTGGTATGTTATTATTTAATATTAGTTTAAAACTCTTTGCAATAACTGAAATTCTTCAAGTTATGTAAAAGTAAAAAAATGGAAATTTGGCGGCGATATGCGTTGGAAGGAGAAGTTAGCTAGTTTTTAAAGGTTTTAATACCTTGCGTGTATTTAACTTTGTGATGAATTGTGTAACGCATAGAAGAAGACATATATGACCCCATAAAGTGTATATATTCTAGATCAGCATCAACAGCCGAGTCGATATAGCCATGCTCGTCTGTCTGCTTCCATGTGAACGAGTCTCTCATTTAAGCTATTCCCTTGGTCCGACTTTCTGCTAAATAAGCCGAAACCGGCAGGATCTGACAACTATATCATATAGCTGCCATAGGGATGATCGGTCGAAAACTAGGTTCTTGGCATTTATAAGTTTCACTATCGACCCTACATATACACAACATCTTATGAACATCCGACCATTATAATATAGCCGCCATAGGAACAAAAGTAGCTTTTTGTATGGCAAAATATTCTGTTTTCCAAGATATTTTCATCAAACTCGAATTATTGTAATGTTTTTTATATTTGTTTCCATGTAGAGCTTCGTCTAGTATCGTAGTCGAATTATATTTGATTGCTTCAGCTCAATTTGACAATAGCTCAAATCCCTTTTACCCTTACACTAATCCACTTTTCCCCCGCGTTTTCTCCATGCATAACAATTAACATTGATCAACGGCATAAATAAGCGCAAATGTGTAACATTTATTGCCGTAAATCGCATAAATTAGCCGGATACGCAGCAGGAGAAGCGCCCAATCCCAATCCCAATCCCAATGCGAGAAAAATCCACAATCCCCCAATCACCTGTGCGTGCTGCGTCAGAGCGGGTCTCTCTCTCTCTCTCTCTCTCTCTCTCTCGTGGCCAACAGACACATGTGAGGTGCTATAAAATTTTCACATATTACTAGAAATTCATGGAAAATAATGCAATAAAAATTCACAGCCAAGCGTCGAGTCGCGGCTACGCTTTTGGGGGACGACTGCGACTCTGACTGTGTCTTAAAGGTCGTAATCCCCCCCTCGAAAAGTACACACACACACACACACACACACGTGAAGTGTTGTGTATTTCTGCTTGACATTTGATATCCTTTTTGTGCTCTAAGCGCGAGGGTATCTGGAATTTGTTGTGAAATTTGTAACGCATCTTACTTAATGTAACGTAATCTATCTTTACACCTTTATCTGGCTATTTGCTATTAGCTTAGTTAAGATTCTTTGCCTGATATAGTTGTTTACTTTTTCTACTCTTTATAACTTATAATTTCAACACCGAATCTATATAATACTTTAGAATTAATATTTTTCTGATTATCTACAAAATAAAAATATTTTAATAAATATTGATATTTTCTTTAATATTTAAATTTAAATAAATAAATTTAAATTTTTCTAAAAGACGTTTTAATATTTAAAATTTTCATTGATTTCTTGAAAGATATTTTGATGTACATTAATTTCTTAAAAATTTGTTTTGATAATTAATAGTTACAATAATTTCTTAAAAGACGTTTTGATATTTAAAATTTAAATTAATTTCTTGAAAGATGATGTTTTTATATTTCATATTTTAATTATTTTCTTGATAGATATATAAAATTTTGTTGTTCTATATATTTAATATTTTAGAGAGAGTTAATAGAAAATAATATGATATATGCATATACTATGCAGAAAATTTATATATATTACATATTTTTTTGACATAAAACAATCGACTGTTAGCTCCGATTTTTTCCCCACTCACTACTTAGTTGTCCACAAGGGTATTTACCTATCGGCTATGCTTGGCATTACCTATTTTTTTTTTACGTGTTTACCAGACAAATTTTGTACGGTTTTTTATTTCATCAAGAGATTTGCAGCACTTGAGCAGCGCAAAAGCCACAAGCGGGGGGAAAGATGCACAAGGGCAACGACGACGAGGGCGAGAACGAGGACGAGGACACTTTGGTTACGCTCCAACTCCTTGGAGCACTTGAGGTAGCACTTTTTCGGTTGGTTGGATTATTCCGCGGGCACCGCCAATCCGCATGCCATCATCATGAGCCGGCACAACTTGTGATTCCCAACCAAACAAACAAAACATGTAAAAAATGTAAAAACGCTTGCAAAATGCCCAAGAGATGCACATAAAATATTTAACAGACGCCGCGAAAAAAAACAACAACAAAACACAAGCGACTGTTTGCAGCAGGGATGGGTGGGGGCAGGGGAAGGGGGGGGGCACAGAGATTTGGGGGCAGAGGCATTTGTAGCAAACTTTTGTCAGCCCAAAAGTGTCGTCATGCGGGTGTCCTGCGTCGCCTTGTTAATCATTTGTTGTGCTTGTTGCAATAATCTATAACACGCCACGCCCCCTTCCCGGCCCCTTTGGCTCATTAAAAAATGATCGTCAACTGGGGGGCATACGCCAAAGGCGGAGCGGGGAGCGCAAGTTTCAACAACAGCCAAAAGTCGAGAAAGTTTTTCAAATACAAGCAACAAAAGACATATTGAAAGTTTCCTCGAGCAAGGCCCAAGTGACACATTTCCATTGGCAAGTTCGTACCGCCAGGGAAAATCCCTAGGTTGGGTGGCGGAGCAGAGAGAGCGAGAGAGAGAGAGGGGGGGGGGGCATTTATTATTGACTTACAAGCGGGATGAAATCAAAGTTTAACTTGCTCAGAATATGCTTAAATTAGAAGTGACAAAGCAATTTTAGTTAAAGAAAAAACAAATTGCAAGACTTTAAAATTTTATTTTGAATCGTATTGAAATCCTGTTTTTTAACAAATCTCATAAGTTTTGGAAAACTATATTACAGATAAAAGTATTTTTCTGTTTTTAGCTATCGCTTTTGCGAGCTGCATTTGGTGTTGGTAGATCCCCTAGTTTGGTTCAGGGTATCCCCTAGTCGGGAACTCCCGACTAGAGCACTTTTACTTGTTGTTATTTACATGTTATTATAATCCCTCTCTAGCTTGTCTCTCATCTTTCCCTTTTTTATAAAGTGTACCAGATCCTTTCGGCCATCAGCTCTCCTTATTTTTAAATTTCCGCATTAAACTTCCTCTACTCCTTTTTCTCTCTCATAGATTTCCTACGATTTTTAGCATTCATTTTGCCTGTCTTTTATTTTTATTCAAAACCAACCTCTATATATTCCATATTCATTCTTAAGATTATTTTTTTAATATTCTACTTTAAAACCCATTCATATTTCCCCTACACTCGTAAACCGCGTATAATAATCATCAAATGATCTGCCTACTTCATTGCAACTGTGCCACATCATACATCATGCTCAAGCTCCATATGCTAGAGGGAAGGGGGTTTCATGCATACCTGAACAGCTGATTATGATGAGTTGGATAGGGGCGGGTTCTTAGGGCCTGTCTTCTTTCCACTCGCCCGGAATGTCGTCTTTTTATTTCTGTGCATTACAAATTAAAGTAATTCGCTTAACTTAAGCCTTGTCGTGAAACAGGGCCATCAAACAAATAATTTCGCCAACGTTTTTACAACCCACCGCCCGCCACGCCGCGCCCAAATCCCAACCCCGCCTCCACCCCAAGCAGACATAAAAAATGATGTATTGTTTTAAAATGTGTTTTTTTTTCGCTGTGGCTTGCCTCTTGATTATGTGCGAACTGCAGCCAGTTGACGGTGTGTGTGTGTGTGTGTGATAAATGTGTTGTGTGTGCGAGTGTGTGTGTGTGTGTGTGTGCCCCTGCCAGCTCCCTTGTCGCAACACTTCCCTTTCCCAAACAAAAAAAAAAAACAACAACAAGCTCCACTTGAAACTTTGCGACTAACAAGCGTCTAACAATTTGCCTGCGACACTTCTCATCTCACTCGACGCTTCTCTCTTTTTTATTGCAGCTTCGACCGCGACCAGCCCTTCACATTCCAATTGGGCGCCGGCCAGGTGAGTTAAACTGTCCAGTTGAATGCCACATTTGGAGCAAGCACTCTTCCTATAGAAACATAAATTGGGCATAAAAGAATTCGGATTTTGTTAGACTTATAATGTTATGGTAGTTGGGCTAAAAAGGATAAGTTAAGCGCAGTAAAAACTGTTACACAAAGGGGAGAGGTTTCCCAATATTAAAGAAATATATGTACATTACATTTATTAAAATTTTTATAGATATTTTTCTATTATAATAATAATTATAATATTTTATATGAAAGTATAAGAAAAAGGATAAGTTAAGCGCAATACAAATTGTTACACTGAGGATAGAATGCTTACAATATTAAAAAATATATGTACATCGGTTTTTTAACATTTGCCTAAGACATTTTTCTATAAAAGTAAAAATAATCTATAACAAAGTATAAAAAGTAGATAAGTTAAGCGCAATAGAAATTACTCCACAAATAGAAAGAAGAATTTCATAATATTTAACACAAATATATCCGTACATCAGAATCTTATATTCAGGACTCTAAATTTTCTTTTTATATAAAAAAAGAATATTTAAAATTTTATTTCGTGTTCTAACTTAAGTTTATCTTAAAAGGCAAGACCATTTTCTAGGATCTTTGAAATTTCGTCCTATTTCTTAAGTAACTTTAACTTTAATAATATTATTCCCATTCTCACAGGTGATTAAGGGCTGGGACCAGGGTCTGCTGGACATGTGCGTGGGTAAGTTTTCTATAGAGTTTCCTCCATTAATTATTCCTCATAAATCTGATTTTTCCTTGCTTGTTAGGCGAGAAGCGTAAGCTGACAATTCCGCCACAGTTGGGCTATGGTGATCAGGGTGCCGGCAATGTGATTCCACCGAAGGCCACTCTGGTCTTTGAGGTGGAGCTGATCAACATTGGCAACGCGCCGCCGACCACAAATGTGTTCAAGGAGATCGACGAGAATGCCGACAAGCAGCTGAGCCGCGAAGAGGTAATCGTCTATGTATGGATCGCACTTTTATCATTATACTTGTACTACACTCTATATATATGTGATATATCCGTGGGTCTCGGTTCGTTACTAACCTCATTCTTCATTTTTTTTACTATTTTAAATAACATTCCTAACATTTTCTATACTTCTTTTTCCCCCTTTATTTCACCTGTTCAGGTTAGCGAATATCTGAAGAAACAAATGACTGCTGTGGAGGGACAGGACTCCGATGAGCTGAAGAACATGCTGCAGGAGAACGATAAGCTGGTCGAGGAGATATTCCAGCACGAGGACAAGGACAAGAACGGTTACATCTCGCACGATGAGTTCTCCGGTCCCAAGCATGACGAGCTGTAAGGCTGAGGCTAGGACAAGTGCTTAAGTTATATCTATCTATAACTACCTATGTATAAATATGACAAACAACAAAAACAACAGCAACAGCGACACGCGACACATCAACAGACAACATTAACAACATATTCAAAACTAAGAACGATTCGACTGACGCCCCTTGAAATCCCCCTCCGCTGAATAGGGGCGCTTTTAGTGTTCCCCCCCTCTCCCTTTGGCAACATCATTCATATTTGTATATACATATAATACCATATACATATATATTTATATAGTATATTTGTTTAACAACTCTCTTCCACACTTCGTCGATTCTGTGACCCGGTTCTTGCACTCTGGGTGAATGCTCAAAATACCCTTCTTCTAGGCCGTAGTTTAAATAGTGTAAGGTACACCAGCAAAATGAAGGGTAGAATATGCGTTATATATCTTTTTTATATACATTTATAGGTTGTTATATTAAAGTTTGTAACTTATTTGTGTGTATGTTGTGTCTGCCAACTGGAAGAAACAAATAACATTTTAAAAATTGTGAGCAAGTGGAACAGAAAATTAAATAAAAAATTATCACAATAATTTAACAACCAAAATTGCGTTTCACTTTGTGGGTTAAGGTTCATTCAAAATAAATAACAGGCAAGAGATTAGTTTCAAATGATTTTTGATTATAATTCTCAAATTGTTTTAACATGCGAGGCTATAATGCTTGAAATGTTTATTGAACTAAATAAAAAGATAAGAAAAATCAGTTTTGCACTGATTGTTCCCATGTCCAATTGCAGTGTAGACATCTATAAAAGTCGTATAATTCCCAAAGGGTTTTGGATAAAAGTACAATAAGGCCTTCAGCACATTTCAAACACAAACTGATTTTAACAGTTATATAGTCGTTATTTATATTCAAATCGAAAATATACAGGGATACAATAAAGAACATCATATACAAATATGTTTTTTTTTTATGTTGCTTCGACAATCGCAAACAATATACATATATATGAAAAAACGTTTTGATTTTACAATACAAGGTCGAGAAAAATAAAAACAGTTTTGAATGTGAAAAGGCTGCCAAACGCTGTCACAGATTATTATACAAACATTGAAAATAACAATTATGTTTGCGTCGGCTCGTCAAGGGGACGGTAGGCGAGAGCGAGAGGGATAAAAACAAACAAAACACCGATGATATATATATTTTTATCATGTACTAATTATATATACACAGTAACTGCGCCATCAAACGATCCCATTGCAGCCGGCGGAGAATACGTTTAACGATAAGCTGGGGGCGGGGTAGCAACACATATGATCACTTTATAGGCTTACGTAGCTAGAGGCGTGGTTAGAAATTTATGAAATTATTCAGCTGTATTGTAGTATTATTATCTGTTCCATTCTGCGGGGGAGTGAGGTTCCGGTAGGGCAGCGGGGCGGGGGGTTTCCATAAAGTACTAGTACCAGCAATTGCACACAGGCTCCAGCGAGATAATTGCATTTTTAGGCGTTTAATATATAGAAAACTAGCTCCAATATGATAGGATCCTGAATGCCAGACGATTCGCCATGCAGCGTGGCTATCAGATGATTATCGAGCGCATTCATATAAATCGGTGGCAACTTGGCACCGCGTGCGCCCGCCTCATAGCCGACCTAAAAATTGAACATATATTAGTTATCAGCTAATTATGTGGCTAGATTGTGGTTGAGCTTACGTTCTCCTGGTCCAGCGTGGCTCGCAGTGCCAGCTTATTGATGCCCGCTGCGGCGAGTAGATCTAGGAATGGTAACAGCGCCATTGAAGCGCTTCTGGCCAGCTGCTCGGCGATGCGCGTGATGTCCGCATAGTTGGTGCCATTTGTGGCATACCAATCCTCGCACTGTCAAACGAAAGAGCAGACAAATATGAGCTAAGGTTTAAACTTGTTAGGAAATATGAGCTTTAAGCAAACTTCTTTGAATGCAGCAAATGTAAGCTTTGAGATTTAAGAGAGCTTAATTGATACCCATCAGCTAGAAGCCTTTTTAAAGCTATACTATAAAGCGCATTTTGAGCTTTAATAGTTTCTTTTCACTGCTGCATTTAATATCAAGCAAGAAATACAGAAGCTAATTAAAGCTTGAGTTCTTAGAGTTTGTTTATATACAGAAAATGAAGCTGAATTATAGACATTATCAGATTGAAGAGCTTTAAGCTGTTTTGAAGTGCAATTAAGCTCCCTAGCCGCATCTAATGTGCTTTGAAAGCTTCTTAAATAATCATGTTACGCACTTTGACAATAAAAATATCGCTCAAACGTATCGCATAATTGGTATTGGAATAGTTAAAGCTGGCATGCACACGCATATTGGCCACACCATCCATGGGCTTGTCATCTATGGGCGACTTGACGCTGCAAAACATGAGAAAATATAAATTAGAATAGTTGAGAGACTCGAAAACTATTTGACAACTCACCCCACATTGATCTCGCGATCATTATCCACCCACTTGATGCTGACAATTTCGCTTTGCTCCTCGGTGGCCGCGATGGGCCCACAGACAATGTCGATATCCGTTTGATTGCGGAGGGCTTGACGCACCTCCTCCATTTTGGCTGGCATAATTTGGACCATGAGCCCGTCCTCGACAATGCTGCACTTGCCGGACAGGCCGCTGCTGCTCTTGAGCGCCTCGTTGAGCACAAAGAAACTGGCGCCCGTTATCTTTCTGGGCTGGCCCTGTATATTGATTGCCTGCGTCGAATAGGCATACATCTCCGACCGATCATCGTTGATGTTCTGCATGCAAACCAAATGACCATCGGCAACTTTCGAGAAGTTGCCGGCAAATGCGAGTATATGATCCGTGGCATTGTTGATTGCCTTGATGACATCGGTCTGGCGATAGCGTGGTATTATGACCGTCGTCTGCCGCTCCTCCATGTGTATGTAGAGGCCACGTATGGCCGGCAGGGAGTACGTATAGTTGCGAAAATCCACCAGAAAATTGATAATTGTCTGGGCTATCTCCCCATAGACACTCTCACGATTGCGCACCGAGATCAGCGGGCAAGGATAGTAGCGATACTGTGCGCCCAGGCGCAGTATAAGCCGGAGCGGCAACACCTTGGCCCAGGGCACCTCATGCCGATGGATTAGCACAGCCACCAGATACGGATTCTCCGGCACAATGACGCCCTGCAGGCACTGATACGTCGGCCTGATGTAGATGAAGCCGCCGTGCTCGCGCGAGCCCAGAAAGTTGGCGCTCCGTGGACTGGTAAAGGCCAGCTCCTGGGTGCTGGAACGTGCATGCTCTGCCTCCACATATACCTCGTACAGATGCTGGAATATGTCACGCGGCACTGTCGGACCGCCAGCTGCTGGCGGCGGCTTGATTTCCAGCAATATGATCAGCTCATCGTTGCCCACATGATGCAGACCCGATGTGGTAAAGTTGAGCACCCACCGATTCATGCAGCAACTCACTGCAAGAATTTTAAAGATGAGCTCCAGCTTAAAGAAGGGCTCGAATGGGATACTCACTGTTGACCACCTTGACCAGCACATAGAAATTGTTCTTCACAATGAACTTGAGCGTCTCGCGCTGCAAACGCTCCAAGAGATCCGCATCGTTGCGCACCTCCTTGTATTCCACATCACAGATGCTGTTGCTGCTGCTGCCGCTGCTGCTCACACAGATGGGGGGCAGGGCGTTCTCCTCGTAGGGTATGAAACAGCCCTGAGCATCGCTGGGCGGCAATTTGCGGGAACGCTGCGGCTCCGCCTTGCGACGCGGCGAGCTTTGCGCTGTATTGCGACCAGCTGAAAGAAGAAAAGCAAACATATCATAAATGTTTGAGAATTACGTAGAAAGGCGATATTTAATGAAGAGAGCGATAGATAGAGGGAGAGAAAGCGAAAGCGTGAAGCAACTAAGACTCTTTTTATAAGAAGCGATATAAATTTAAATAAAGTATTTTTTAGTCTTGAGAATCGCATAGAAAGGCGGCGGGCATTTTATAAGGAAAGTAATCAGTTTCCAAGGCACATAAATTACGTATTTTCATACACAGAATTATAATTGGAGAAATTTAATTTAATATCCTATTTTAAGCTCAATTCTTCCTATAGATAGTATTTTTCATAGTCGTGAGAATCGCATAGAAAGTCGGTGCTGAAGGAAAATGATCGGTTTTACAGCTCTATAAATTATGTATTTTCTTACACAGTTTAATAACGAGAAATTTAACATAATTTCCTATTTTAAACTCAATTCTTGCCTCAAATATTATGCCTAGTGTTTTTTCGGCCTTCAGATCTGCTCCAATAGGGAACAATATATACTATTCCCTAGCCACTTCGACTGGAAGCTTAAATTTACAAATCTTTAACAACACTCCAGCTTCATCTGAAGCTTTACTCTCCTAACTTACTTTACTTGCACTTTAAGCAAGTGTCATTTAAGCACAATGTGGCGAACTCTGCACGACTTACCGCTTGACGAATGGCTGCCCGCTGAGGCCGCTGTAAGTGTTGCCGCCGCCGCACTGGGCGGTATGGAGCCACGGAATAGCTGCGCGACCAGACCCATGGTATTGTCAATACTGCTTGCGCTGGCGCCGCTGCTGCTGCTGTTGGCGCCGGGCGTGGGCGGCTTTTGGCCGGCGCCGCTGTTGCTGCGCAGCAGGCCGCGACGCGCCTGCTTGGCTTCGCCCCACTGCTGCTCCATGGTGCTGGCCAGCTCGCTGCCGGGGGCAATGCCATCGCTGAACATGACGCTCTTGCGCTTGCGCCCCTTCTTGCTGTCGGAACTGGAGTTCGAGGAGCTGCCGTCGGTCTTCTTCAGCACGCCCACGGGCACAATGACGCTGGGCGGCGGTGCGCCGGCGGCAGCCACCTGACGATGCGGCGGTATGGTTGAGCAATACTCCATGGGATTATTTGGATTGGGCGAACGCATCGGCGTCGGCGGCAGCGCAGCCGGCGGTGCGCCCGCAAACATATCGGAGACGCCGCCGTTGGCCTGCCGTTCGGTGAGTATCATGAAGCATTGCACGCAGACCCGCGACTCCGGCTCATTGGCGAACTCCAGATGGAACCGCTGCGAACAGCAAACGGAGCAGAGGACCTTGCCGCAGGCGCGACAATGATGCCGCCTCTTGATCATGGTGAACTTCTGCTGGCACTGCATGCACTGGCCGGCCATGTTGTCGGGCACCCAGATGGGCGGCACCTTGCCCAGATTCGCGTGCGGATCACTGTAGCCGACGGCCTCATAGATGGGACTGTCGTCATCCGCGTCCTCTGCGCCAGCTGCAGGCGCCGTTGCAGCATTCGACTGCAGCTCTGACTGATCCGCCGCCTGCTCGGCGCCCGGCGGCGGCGTCTGGCCCGCATTCGTCTGGTAGCCGCCGTTCAGATCCAGCGTCTGCGGACGTTGCGGTCGCTGCTCCTGCGTTTCCAGGGCATCCGTGCCGACGCTCGCCTCCTGCTC